AGGCCTCTCCAGCTCACACCAGGCCACACCAGGCCTCTCCAGCTCACACCAGGCCTCACCAGGCCTCTCCAGCTCACACCAGGCCTCTCCAGGCCTCTCCAGCTCACACCAGGCCTCTCCAGCTCACACCAGCTCACACCAGGCCTCATGCTCACAGGGCCCTCCTGGCCATCCCACCTGCAGCCCTTGCTGGCTCCTCAGTGCTGCCTGGGCCTGCTCCGTGCTGCAGAGAAGCCTCAGGTCTCCATCCCCTCAGCAGCTCCAGAGGGCAGTGGACCCATCATCTTTTCCCTGCAGGTGGGCCTCCCTCAGCCCGCGGCCCAGCGCTGTGCGGCCCAGCTGGCCTCGGCCCTGGAGCACATCCACTCCCGCGGCCTGGTGTACCGGGACCTCAAGCCAGAGAACGTGCTGGTGTGCGACCCAGCCTGCCGTCGCGTCAAGCTGGCCGACTTTGGCCACACACGGCCCCGTGGGACCCTGCTCCGCCTAGCCGGGCCACCCATCCCCTACACAGCCCCCGAGCTCTGCGCCCCGCCGCCTCTCCCCGAGGGCCTGCCCATCCAGCCTGCCCTGGATGCTTGGTCTCTGGGGGTCCTGGTCTTCTGCCTCCTCACCGGCTACTTCCCCTGGGACCAGCCCCTGGTGGAGGCCGACCCCTTCTACGAGGACTTTCTCATCTGGCAGGCCTCAGGCCAGCCCCAGGACCAACCGCAGCCCTGGTTCGGCCTGGCGCCTGCGGCAGATGCACTCCTGTGGGGGCTGCTGGACCCTCACCCCCGAAGGAGGAGCCCGGTGGGCTCCATCAAGGGCTACCTGGGGCGACCGTGGAAACAGCCGGAGAGGGAGGCTGAGGAGCTGGGAAAGGGGGCAGAGGATGGGCAGTGAGCAGGGCTCGCAGGGCAGCGCCCACTTCCAGGAGTGCTTGGCTGTGCCAAGCGGCTTTGGTGTCTGCCCATTTTGTCCCTCTCATGTGCCCCGTTGCTGCTCTGTGCAGTTCCCGCCCCTCCCTGTCCCCACGTGTCCTTCCTCAACTGCACCTTCCCTGGATGCTCTGGGAGGTGCCGCCTCCTCTCTAGGCCTTCCCTCGCCCCAGCACATGGCCGCCGCCCTCCCCTGCAGCCCCCCTCCCCCCCACTTTGTGATCCTTTACTTTTCCTGTGACCCGTGTCCTCTTTAATCCAGATGTTTTACTTACCATGGCTACTGAGTGAGATCCCAAAGGGAGCCGTCTGCCCTCTTGCTCCTGAAGGACCACGTGCTCAGAGCCACGCCTGCCGGGCCCTGCCTCCCTTCCAAGTGCCTCACACTGCCCCTGGCCTGCCCTCTCCTGCAGGGCTTCCCTTCCACCCCGTCCCGCTGCCCTTTTCTCCACGTTGCTGGGGAGTCACTCTCTGCCTCTCTTGCCCCAGCTGCTCTCTGCAAATAGAGTCCACCTGGTGTTCAAGTCCCCTGACACTGTGGGTCTGTGAGCTCAGGAGAGTGTGTGTGTGCGTGTGTGCACACACACACACACACCAGCAGGTGCTGTGGAGAGGGAGAGGTGGAGTGCCTGCGGACGGGGCCCCAGCCCAGCTGGCCCTGCGGTGGACGGTAGAGCACGGAGCACAGGGTGAGCTGCTGGTTTCTTAGGTGGTCCCGGACAGGCACACTCAAAGGTGGACATCACGTGGTGCGTTTGCACACGCACACAGCACATTTGGCCCGCCTCATTCCGCAGCTCCCTGCTCTCCCACCCCTCCCGCCTGCCCTCAGCCCTCTTCCCCACTCCACTGGTCTCCCCTCTGTCTTCACGGACACCCCTCTCCCTAGCTTGGCTCTAGCGTCCACACGGAAGGGAAAACAGTCGACGGCCTTTCGGAGTCTGGCTCATATCACTTAGCAGATGTCCTCCAGTTCTGTCCACCTACCAGCAATGCCGTGACCTCATCCATCTTTATGACTGAGTAAAACTCCTCTGTGGGCATGGACCACATTCTCTGGATCCATCATCTGCTGACGGGCACCCGGGCTGGCTCTGCACCATGCCTACTGTGGATCACACTGTGAAACACTGATGGGACTGTGCCCTGCCATGTGCTGGTTTTGGATCCTTTGGAAAAAAACACCAAGGCGCGGGGTAGCTGGGTCCTAAGGTGTTTTCAGTCCTCGCGTTCTGAGGAGCCCAGAGTGCTTTCCGGAGGGCTGTACCCATTTTCACTCCCACCAACAAAGTTTGACTATGCCTTTTCCCACGAGCTGCTTATTTCTAAGAATCCTTTCCCTTTACAAATCAAAGTTTGTGTCAGAGTGTTGAAATGAAGAACACGGTCCTCAGAGATTCTCTCCTGAAGGTGTGCACACACAGTGTGAGAGAGAGAGTGGAAGTGTGAGTACGCCTTGCACATGTGGGCGAGAGCTTGGTGCATGCTCTGTGTCTGAGCATGGGCTATGTGTGTCGAGGAGAAGGAGAGCACGGGTTTGCAGCTCTGCGTGTGTGGACATCGGATCTGTCTGAGACCTTGGACCATGTGTGTGTGCGCGCACGAGTGTGCTTGTGTGCATAGCTGGGTAGGAAAGGTCAGGCAGGCGCCGCGGCCAGCTGCCACCTGGCCCCTCTCTCCTGGCGTCTGCCCCGCCACCCCGTCCCCTTCCTGGCAGCCGCCTTGTTTGCAAACACTCTCTCTTCCTCTCCGTGCCCTGCTTGGCCGTGGGCCCAGAGGAAGGCAAGGCTACAACTCAGGCTGGATCGCATGTCACCAGCTCCCGGCCCCCGCACACCCCCAGTGTCCCTGCTGTGGCCCCGAGGTGTTGCCTGGTGGGGGTGGCAGAGCGTGCATGCCCACGTGAAATGGTTCCAAGACCTTTTGAATCCAAGTTCAAGCCAGAGAAGTGGGGACAGGAGCCCCTGGCCTGACGATTGGGAGCTTCACGATGTGGAGGGTCGCGTTGAGACCTCCTGCCACCTCATGTGGGTCTGAAATAGCCCAAGCACTCAGGCCAAGAATGTGTCCCCTAAAGCTGGAAGTGGCCAGGTGACAGGAGTAGAGGGGCAGGGGCAGAGTGGGCCTGCGCCTGCCTGTGCTAATTGGAGGTGGCAGCTGAGGATTAACTGGAGGGTGATAATGACAGCATGGACCTGCGCAGCAGGGGAGGACAGACGCCCAGAGGGCCCAGCCAGGGGCCACACTGATTAAGTCATGCCCAGTGCTAACGGGAATGGTTAACACCACCTCAGCAGCGGGGGTGGCCTGTTGCTGACTTGTCCCCTGACCAAGCCAAAGGGTCCCTTGGACACACCCTTCCTCATGGGTGGGCCCCCGGTACCCTGAGCCGCCAGGCACCTGCCACAGCTCAGGTGTCCCCTGGGCTCTATGCTGTTAACTGCCCTGGTCCACCAAGGAGCACAGGGTGGCCCACATGGGCCTGGGCTGAGTGTGTGTGCGACCACACTCCCTGCGGACAGTGGAGTGTGTGAGAGTGAGGGACTGAGCATGGCCGTGTGTGTGAGGTGTCACCCGCCCTGGGAGGACAGGCTGGGGCACTGTGGTGACAGCCAAGGAGCAAGGCTGCACCACCTCCAGGCCCACTGGAGTGGCCGCCTCAGGGACAGCACGCGCAGGCGAGGACAGCACTGCTCACAGGGTGGAGAAGGGTCTGGCCATGCCACGGCACCGGGAGGAGGCCACAGCTCCGCGCCCGGCACCCTCTGGAAATGCACGGGCGCCCCGGGGCGCGCACACCAGCCCGAGTCTGCTCAAGACGACTGCCTGGCACGTTTAGAGTGGCATGGTTTATGGCGTGTCGACGCACCTTAGCAGGGCTGTCCAGAGTAAGACCAAGGGCAAGCCTGAGGGACGGCGGCAGCGCGGCAGCCCACCCTGCTGCCGGGCCCCGCGGGTCCCCTCCCTCAGCAAACCTCTGGGCTCCACCAGGAGCATGGCAGGCCTCCCCCAGTGCTCTCCGTTAGGTCACACAGACGAGTCTCGGGGTGCCAGAGTGCACCTCCTATCCCTGGTCACAGGGGCAGAGCTGGGTCACTGCTGTGGTCTCCCTGGCAAAAGCCAGGAAGAAGGGGGCCCAGCCGGTTTCAGACCCACTCTGACCCACAGCGTCCCTGATGTGTGTGTGACGGGTGGTCCCCAAGGATTGTAAGCAGGACTAGCTATAAACTCGTGGGTGACATACAAGATGCAAATCTGGGCCTCTTATACCAAAATCACTGCGAGAGCGTCCCTTCCTCCTTCCCTGGCCCTCCCTGGCCCTCCCCACCCCCACCCTCCAGAACCATTAGGGAAACTGGGCTTCACGGGACAGCTCGGAGCTGTCCCCACACACGATCCATCGTCTCACCAGACTCTTTAATCAACGATCACGAGACACCGGCTGGGGCACAGCTCAGCTGGGGGAGAGCCGGCCTCCCACGCACAAGGCCTGGATTCCATCCAGCCCCACCAATCCCAGGGCTGCACGGAGGGGGTTTGCCTGAGATGCAGGAGGCAGCTGGGACTGGCACACAGAAACCCAGGTGACCCCAGAGGCCTTCCTGAGTGGACAGGGTTCCAACAGCAAGGCCTACAGAGGGCAGCTGGGCTAGGGTAGGGCCTGGGCATCTGCTCCTGACCAGCCCCCAGTGAGGTGGACGCTTAGTCCCTGGGCCACACTGTGGGGGCCACACTGTGGGGTGTGATTTCAGCTGGCTCCCTGCCAGCCGTCAGGCTGTGGGGGAATGGCAGATGTGGGTCCTCCTTGGTGTCCTCCTGTGGAGGACCTCCGCTGCGGCTCCACTCTGAGCACGCGTGGGGCCTGTGGGTGTCACAGGACAGGGACCCTCTGCACGGTGGGCTTGCAGGGCTTCTGCAGCCACTGCCAGGCCTGCTGGATGCCAGCCGGCAGAGGACTGAGCTCAGCTGTCCTGTGGGAGTGTCCCGAGTCAGGGCCAGCAGTGGGTGGAGGCTGGCCACCCATGCTGGCTTCGAGCCCCAGGGCCAGATGTTTGGGCTTAGCTGCCCAGCCAAGCAGGGATAGGATGACTAGTAATTAAGCACCCGCTTACTCGGGGCTGGCAGAGGTGGCGGGGTGGAGGGGCCTTGGGCCAGGCTTACAGAAGGGCCAGGAGGTGAACCCCAAGCTGGCCTCTCTGCTACTTTGAGGGGATGACCCAGAGCCAGGGTCCCACCTGGAGATGGAAAAGGTGACTTTTCTTTGCAAGTTGGGGTCCTGCTCTGCAATGCCCTGAGTGCCCAGGGCAGGAGGGGGAAGGCAGCGGGAGCCCTCCCTGTGTCCTCCCTAGGGTACTGGTCAGCAGTTATTTAAGTCTTGGGCTGCATGAGATCTGGGGACCAGAGATTCCCTGAATGCTCCTCTGCCTGTTGGCGGGAGCAAACAGTCCATCTATCAGGACCCCCAGGCATTACCCCACCCCCAGCAAGTAACTGGACCCTGCTGGCCTTTACAGGACTGTGGGGGCGCCAGCCTCATCACCTTCTGTGACCTCCAAGCCAGGCTCTGGTCTGGGGAGAGGAGGAGGAGGGAATGGTTTCCTGCTGAAGGGTGCAGGGGCCACAGTGGGAGTGTGGGGGGCAGATCTTCCAAGTTGTCCCCCAACTTACAGGGCAGCAAGCTGAGACACAGAGATGGGAGAGGTCACTCAGGGGCAGTCATGAAAGTCCTGATCTGGCACCACAGGACAAGTCAAAGCAGGGGATCTTCACCACATTATTCTGGGGTTGAGCCCTGGCTCTGCTCTGTGGCCCAAAACAAGAGGCCTGCCCTCTCTGATCCTCAGAGCCCTTTCTGAAATGGGGATCAACATTCTTCCCTTGCAGGATTATTGTGACAACTGTATTATATTGAGTCTACATGGTGTCAACCAGGGAAGCACCAAGAGGCGTGGCTGGGACTCTAGTTTAGTGTGCGTGTACTCATGCCAAGTGCTATCCTTACACATACCAACACAATCCCTCCCCACGGCAGGGGAGGCAGACACTATTTCTATCCCCTTTTACAGAAAAGAAAACTGAGGCGCAGAGAAGGAGAGAAAACTAGAGTTCCACAGGTGTGGAGTGGTGAGGCCGGGTCTGGACCCGGCTTGGCCCGACAGGGGCACATAGCACCGTCGCAAGAGCCGGGCTCAGGAAGCAAGCCCGGCTGCCGATCATGGCTCTGTCCATGTGCGCCACCAGCCCTCTCTGTGCCCAGCACTCAGATCTGTACCTGAGCCTGAGGGCCAGGCTCTCCCCAAGCCCTCGGGGAACCACTTACAGCTCACTCCATGCCCACCCAGGGGCACCTGCAGTCACCACACCTTGCAGCTTAGCACAAGAGGCCCTGCCTGGGCTCCACCTCCTCACTGCTGAGTGGCCGCACCAGTGCCCTCCTGGGCAGCACTCACCATGGTGAAATGGCATCACATGGACCGGGCCCTAAGCGCGGCCTCACGCAGGTGCCCACCAGGCTCCAGTCCCTGATGATGATGCACACCCATCAAGGTGGCACTGGGTGTGCACGTGGCACCAGGCTCTATCTCCAGCTGGGCACACCCGTGAGCAAGTCAGCACTTCCTGTCCACACGAAGCCTCCCCACCCCTCTCACCAGCACGACCATCCTCACCAGGTTTTATACATACAAACCATACTTCACAGGTACACCTAGGTGTCCTAGCCACTGCACCCCTCCTCACCACCGCCATCACCATCCTCACCACCATCCTCACCACTGCCCTCACCATCCTCACCACTGCGTCACCATCCTCACTGCCGCCGTCACCATCAGCACCATCTCCATCACCACCTCCATCAGCACCCCGTCATCATAACCACCACTGCCATCACCATGGTTACCCTCATGATAATTGTTACCCTCACCCTCACCACTGCTGCCATCTTACTGTCACCACCTCCACAACCACCCAGAGACAGAGGTCTGTCTTGGGATGCTCTCCAGCGTTCCCAGAATCGCCCAGAAACACTGGTCTCACACGCCTTGCTTTTCATCAGAGGCTTGGCTTTCTTTGGTTTGAGAGTACATTAAGCTCCCCAAATCCTGGACAGGGTCACACATCTCCCCTCAGAGGTCTCTCCTCCTCCTCTGGCGTGGTGGTAGTGGGCACAGGTGTGCTGGGGGGCCAGGCCACCTCTGCCAGTCTCTTCACAGCCTCCCCCAGGTGCCCCAGCCCCTGGGCGGCCTCTGCCAACTGGGCCAGCCCCAGCTCCAGGGCTCGGCGCTCCTGACGGTCTTGTTCCAGGACCTGGGTCAGCCTCTGCAGCTGGTCACCCACGGCCCTCACAGCGTCCACCAGCTCCACCAAGGCAGGTGGCTCACAAGCCATGACTCTTACAGGTGGTGCCGGGGACAGGCACGGGCCCAGGGGACCTGGGATCTGGCCAGGGGCTGGGCCCAGGACAAGGGGATCAGGGGGTGGTTGGTCCAAGGGGCGAGCCCTGGGAGGCAGGTGGAGGTCAGGAGTTACTGTGGGGTCAGAGGCTGAGTGTGGGGTGTGGGCAGGTGGAGGGGTTGACCTGGGGGTCTGGCTTCTGGGTGGCTTGAAGCCCTCCGTGGATAGTGGGTCCACGCTGGGCGCCGGAGAGGCCCTAGAGCGGCTGGACCCGGAGGCTGGGGAGGGGTCCAGGCTTAGTACCTGGAGTGTGGGCGTGTGAGGGGTCCCCACTGCAGTCAGCTGGGGGTGCAAGCTGGGCTTGTCCTTTGGTGCCAGAGTGGGAGAAGGGAGTTCTGTCCCCAGGGAGGCTGGAAGGGACTTGGTGGAGAGGGCTGGAGTAGAGACGGGGTCAGCAGTCCTACTAGGGTGAATGGTGGCAGCAGGCTCAGCTGTCACGGTAGGTGGAGAGGCCGTGGTGGGGTGAGGGGTCATGGTGAGGTCAAGGGTCATAGGAGGAGGAGGCACTGTGGTGGGGTGAAGGGAGGTAGTGGGGTGGGTGGTGGCGCGAGGGGTCGTGGTGGGGTGTGTGGTCACAGTGGGGCCAGGGCTTGTGGAGGGGTCTGAGGATCCAGAAGGTTCTGGGGCTGTCTTGGGGTAAGAAGCTGTCTCCATGTTTGGGGTAGTGACAGATTCTGGGGTCAGCCCTGATGGCGTGGAGGGGCCAGAGGTCGGCTCTCGGGGCGAGGTGGACGATGGCATGGAGGAGAGCGCCCGGGTCACAGCCGGAACCACACTGGAGTCAGCGGTGGACGGAGCAAGGTCAGCTGTTGTCAAGGAGGGCAGGGCTGGGGTGGGTGGAGGAGTGTCAGCAGGGTCCGAGGTCACTTCCCGTGGTGCAGCCCAGTCCAGGACGAGCGGATCCGAGGGCCCTGGCGAGGGGGAGGGCGCGTGGGATGGGGTGGGGGCCGCTGTGCGGGCTGCGCTGGGCTGCGACAGTCGGCGCCCCGACCCCGGCTTCCTCGGGGAACCTGGAGGAGGCAGGAGGGACAGAGGTCCAGCTGAGGTCAGTCTGCCCCGCCCACCCTGGGTCCCGCACCCTCTCCGGCCAACTGGAGGGCGGGGAGCTCACGACATCACGGGTCACCAGCAGACTTCGCCCGGCCCTAGTGCCCTCCTCGCTCCTCCTCCGAGGCTCCAGACGCCACCTGGCGTCCTCTGTCCTCTGCCTGAGGCAGGAAGTCCCAGCCAGATGTGCTGGACAGAGACGGGCCTGCGGAGGGGGCTGCGGAGGGTGCTGAGGAGGGTGCTGAGGAGGGGGCTGGCTGCGGAGGGTGCGGCCTGGGCACAGACACAGGGTGTGGCGCAGGGTGCCTGAGCAGGGAAGCAGGCTGGGAGATGGGAGAGGTGATCTTAGGATTCAAAATAAGTACTTCAAGGCAAAATTTTAAACAAAATCAATGTAGAAAATCCACAATGAGCTAACTAACAAAATTTTAAGGACAGGATCCAACGGGCTGGGTTAAGGGGAGTGGAGCGAGGTGGGCAGGATCCTGTCTTTAGTCAATTCTGGTCTGTACTTCATCGTGGGTCTTTTTCGCATTAATTCTGATTTTTAGCAACACTGTAATAGGGCGGCATTATCTTGATTACTGCGGTTTTTGTGCCCCTTCATTCTGTGCCCAGTGGAGTGAGGGGCTGGCTGCCCCCGGCCTGGCTTCCCCTTCGGGAGAGCTCATCTCCTTCTCACAGAGGCGAGCTGAGGGGCAGAGCACAGGGAACCTGCCCGAGGCGACAGACGCAGTGGGCAGGTTCCGGGGTGAGACCGGAGCCCGGGCAGTTGGCACCCAAGTCTAGGTTTCAGATCTCCCCTTCTCAGTGAGGGGGCTGTTCCACCAGCTGAGCGTCAGAATTCAGTGGCCACTAGCCGCTGGTGGCTGGCGAACACTTGAAATGTGACCAGCATGAATGAGGAACAGCGTGGGTCACTGTTCACCATGTCGCCTGACTTAAATTCCAACAGCTGCCGGTGCTGAACGGCCACCGGAACAGCACCGCTCTGGAGATCCCACCAGGTCCGGGGTCTTGGAGGTGCACCCCTCCCAGGTCCTCTACTAGCGGGCTCCAGAAGCAGAGAAGCCAAGGGCAGGGCCTCTGCCAGGCTCTCTCCCCGGCTGGGTGACATGGGCAAGCTCCTTCACTGCTTGAATCTCAGTGTGATCCCCACCCATAAACCAGAGGTGACCAAATCCCTGTAGAGCAGCCACAGGGACCCAGAGGGACGGTGGCTGCGTGAAGCACAGCACAAGTCCCGGCAGAGAACAAGCACTCAGGCTACTGGGGCTGTGTCACGGATGCCTGCCTCAATTCCCCTGGGTTTGGGGAGCGTCACGGGGACTGAGGGAATGACGCACAGGGTGCTCCAACAGCACTCGGCGCGGGTGCACCACTCGTCATTCTAAATGTTTTTAGTCATTATTTCAAGAATCTCGACGTGGCTGTGTACTGCAGCCTCAGACCCTGGGAACGGTGGTGGTCTCAGCTTGTCAGAGCCCAGGTGCAGAGGGCCGTGCTGTGTCATTCCTCTGCAGGAGGCCATCAGCAGAGGCTGGAACCCTCCTGGCCCTTCTCCACCCCATCACCCTCTCCCACAGGTACTTCACCAATGCACTTGACACATGGCCTTAAATACGCCTGTGTCCTCCACAGCACGTTTTGTAAGTGTGTGAGTGTGTATGTGTGTGTGTGTGTGTATTTTTGTGTTGTGCTTTTAACTTCTGCAAAAAACCATTCAGCTGAAAACCTCCTTCTCTTTCTGACTTCCGCCTTGGTGTAGGCCAGGTCCCGCGGCGCCCAGCGGGCGTGCATCCAGAGCTCCCATCCCGGGCCCACTGCATCGCTCACCCACCTGCACTCTCCTCCACGCCCTGCGAACCCAGAGTTCCCGGACGTCCTCATACCTGCCTCCCTTGGTAAGTCCGTATGAGAATTCCTCTGCGGAACCGTCCTGGGAGTGGGATTTCTGGGTCCCCGTCCATGACCACGTAATTCCACTAAGTGCTTCCAGACTGTTTCTGTCAAGTGGCTGCTCCCGGGCTGCCCTGTTCCCAGGGCTGCTGCCCCACAGCCTGGCTCCCCGTGGGAGCACTCTGCACACAGACTTGCCTCTGCTTTCTCTGGGAGTTACTGGCACTCTCTCATTGGCTGCAGTGACTTGTGGGGTGCAGGCCGCGCCTCCCCCTCAGCCCTGTTGGCATCTGGGGCTGCGTGGCTCTGGCTGAGGGACCGTCCTGTGCCTAACACCACCCCAGCCTCCACTCATGAGGGCCAGCGGCTGGCTCCCTGCTCTGACGTTACCAAATGCACCTGCGGATGGCTCCCGGGGCGCCCTGGTCTGCACAGTGCCTCGGTTTCAGGATGCACTTCTGTTGGGTCTTCCTGGGGCAAGAGCTGGGCTACCACTGGGGGGTCTGGAGCCTACCTCTACCCTCCCTGGGCACGTGCCTCACCTCTGTCCCCAGGGGCCCTTGGAGCTGGAGAGGGCTGGCCTGGGCTCTTGGTGGTGCCAGTGGTTAGAGTGGGTCCAGCTGTGGCTGCAGTGGGAGTCCCCTTGACCAGGTCCCTTCTGGAAGGTGTGTCCCATGTCCAGGAAGACTTGTCACCATCCTGGTCACCTGAAGAGACAAGAGGAAGAGGGTTGGGTCTGACCTGGCTTTGTGCCCCAACTGTCCCAGCCCAATGCGGGCAGCACCAGGACCCAGAGAGTCCATCACGCAGACTACTCCCCAGTCCTACAGCCACCCTGGTGGCCAAGTGGCACACTCCTGCTACCAGAAACAGAGCCTGTGGCAAAGGCAGCTCACAGAACAAGAGCGCTTGTGGTTCCCATTCCCTGAGTCCCTGGCCGGCCTGCTCTTCCTTTCCCTGGGGAAACCAGTGACTCTGCCCACCAGCCGACACTGTGCTCCCTGGGTCTCTTTCTTTTTCCTTTTTTTGTTTTTTTAATTTTTTAGTTGTAGATGGACACAATACTTTAATTTATTTTTTTGTGGTGCAGAGGACTGAACCCGTGCCTCACCTGTGCTAGGCAAGCGCTCTGCCTCTGAGCCACGACCCAGCCCTCCCTAGGTTTTCTGGCCAGATACACTTGGATAGTCTGTAGAACAACTTTATATAACAAGTTTATATAAGTTTATCATCAACATAAAATTTCATTTAGGGGAGAATAGAAAGATGACTCAGTCTTCGAACTTTGTTGATCAAAAAGCTTAGCACCCTTTTCTTGGGATAGAACCCACAAACATGGCCACTGACTGACTGAAGCGGCACAAGGCATGGTTCTCAGTGCATTCACGAAGCTGTACAGCTACCGTCACGACGAGGGTCAAGTGTTCACCGGCATCAGAAAGGAAGAGCATCTCCCTCGCCTCAACAGAGAGCTCCCTGCCCACCGCTCTAACCACACCCAGACCGACTTCTGTGACCGTGTCCCCCAATTCTGACCTTAGAGGCCTCTTCACACCATGGATCCTGCCAGGCCCCTCCCAGGCTTAGCTTTCCCACGAGTCTCCACGGTCCACTGTGAAGTCCACAGAAGCTGCCCTGCCGGCCCCTGGGCATCAGTCCCCAGTCCCCCAGTGCTCTGCAGGAACTCCCTTCCGCCCACTTCCAGTGAGGGGCCTGCTAACACCCTCTCCCCTCCACACTCAAAACCAGGCAGAAGGGCAGGGCCCAGGGCCCCGGCACTTAGACATGATCACTTTGCTCTCTAGCTGCGCCCCTGCAGAAACCTCTGCTACACTGATGTGCTACGTGCCCAAAGAACAGGGTCCACTTCCACCCGAGGCCAGTGTCACGGTCGCCCAGCCACGTCTTCAGGTTATTAATCACTTTCCCCCCTTTTTTGGTACTGGGGATGGAGCCAGGGCCCCTCCCGTGCTCGGCAAGCGCTCCACCACTGAGCCCCAACCCAGCCCTCACAACTCCCTTTTTAAATTTTGTTGAGACAGCGTCGCACTGAGTCGCCCAGGCTGGCGTCGAACTTGTGATCCTCCTGCCTCAGCTTCCCGAGTCACTGGGGTCACAGCCACCGAGTCTGCTCCATTCTTAATCAGCTACAGTTCTCTCTACATTAACACCAAGGGGATGGCTCTGAGATCCTACAGGAAGGCACACTCCTAGGGAACTTGAGACCCATTAGCAGCGCTAGCGATTTAAGAAATGATGAAAGAAAAAGAGGGAAAACAGTCCATTTTCGTGAACTGTTAAAGATTTTCCGAGAGGGTGGACTTTCGGAGGACTCCTCTAGGAACAAACTCCAAGCTGACCACCTGTTGGAACGCGGCCACCGACTGCAGACGCGCCCTGTGCACCCGGCGAGTGCTGAGAGGTCACTACATGCTCACCGTCCGTGGGTGTGGCTGGATTTCATTAAGATATACTTTTTAAGTGTTTTTTAAAAGAAGGACCAGTACACAGTTACGTCCTTCCCTTCTCCAGAGGGAGCTGCGGCGGGACGTGGCTGTCACTCTCACGCAGGTGCTCACACTTGCTGCCACAGAGGGCGACGGCTCCCGGTGTCAGAACAGCACCTGCCACTGCGCTCACCACTTGGAACTTGTTTTCATTCAACCTCGTGTTTACTGTGACTGCCCGCTATGTCCCTAACTGGTTGGGTAAGCAAGTAACTTCTCTGTGACCCAGTGTCCTCATCTGTAAAGTGGGTATCCTCAGGATGTCCACGTCATGGGGTCACAGAGCTGGGCACAGGATATGCTGTTCTTCACCCTGAAGTAATGTAACTCTGGTTCATTCTTTTTAAACCTGTGTAATATTCCACACTGAACAAACAACCAGTGACCTGCCCACCAGACAGATCTGCCCTGGGACTCCTGCTAAAAGGAGCTGCACAGGTGGCTGGGGAACTCTGCCTTGCCTCAGGCTTGGCCCTGACACAGGATTGCTGTGTGGGCAGCAGGGGCTTCCCCTGGGCATCACCAGGCTGCTGTCCAGGGGGGTGCCAATCCTCGCTCCCACCTGTACCCCACATCCTTGGTACTGTCAGAGGGTTTGATTTTTGTTGGTCTTGTGCGGAGGGAGTGATTGGGAAGCTTCTGAATTGCCACAGATAACTCCACTGAAGCTCAGAGAGTTCGAGGAACATTACCACAGTCACACAGCTCAGTGCCATGTCAGGCTTCAGGCCCAGGCGTCTCCCCTGTTCTGAATGGGTCCTCTTTCCCTCTGGGCACAGACCCCCAAGCCTCACCCCACTCCTGATTTAGCTCAAAGACCTCCCCAATTCCTCCCTGGATGAGGTTCTCCCCCCTCCACGCTCCCTGGATTCTTCAGGACTGACTCTGTCCTTACCAGACTCCATGTTGTGGAGTAAACTCGAGTTTTTACCTAAGCCCTGCCTTTTGCTATTCTGACATCTCTCTACCCCAATCTCCTTACCTGCAAAACGGGGCCAAGGACAGTAGTTACCTCCTAACGTTGCACTAGGAGGAAGGAATTAAACCCGGTCAGCATCATGTACTCAGCACGACTGCTATGATGTGATCTAACACCTAAACTTGATCTTGCTTTTAATCTCGGACCCTCTTCTCTCTGCATGACCTCCTGCAGCAATGGCTTAGGACAATATCTCAAATACAGGTCATCCCACCTCCTCAGGGGCAGGTGGCAGGAACTACCATACACACAGCCGTCCGCTGGCCTGGCCTCTTCACTTCTCGGCCCAGACGCTCCTCTGAGCTGCAACACTGATGTCTCCTGACATTCCCACCCTGGCTGCTGTGCACCCGCCCCACACTGCAGATGGGTCCCGCCACCTCCTGGCCTCCCCTAACCCCTGACCTGGCCTTCAAGCCAGCCGAGGAGCTTCCCACCGGTCCCTCCCTGGAGCCCCTCACCCGGAGAGCTGCATGGCTTTCTCCCACTCTCCCTCAAGGTCTTTGTGCAAATGGCACCTTCTGAGGTGTCTCTTGACTGCTCTGTTTCAAAGCACAACCTCAGGACCTCTCCAGCCTCTGCTGTGTTCCTCACCGCTGTGTTCCCAGGGACTGGTCCACAACCTGACACACAGTTGGCCTCTGACATGAATTAACGTCGGCCTCCAAAAGCCATCAGCCAGGAAGCTCCAAGACATGCGGCTATGTGCAATTGGAAGTGGAACTCCAACTCCGCAGCCTCCAGTGTCATCCCCGCACACTCCTCTGGGCTTACACTGCAGACTCTCCTCCACTCACTCATTCAACCTTAAGTAGAAAGAGTTCCAAGCCCCATCCTAGACCCAAACACGGTAGGCAGAATAACGCCCCCACCTCCAAAAATACCATCCCCTAATCTACAAAACCTGTGAATATGGCAAAAGGGACTATATGTACAGACCTGATAAGAAACTTGAGAGGGACTGAGAGGTGGGGTGGGGCGTGGAGGAAATGACAGGCATGAATTAGTATCTAATATGGTTAAGGACCCCGACCTTGGGTGGGAGATTATTCTGGGCCCAAACTAATCATACAAATCCCTAAAATCAGGGAAGCTGTGAAGCCAGAGTGACAAGGCTGTAAAGACAGAGAGCCTCAGAGAGATGCCATATTACTGACTCTGAAGGTGGAGGAAGGGGCGGGGAGGCCAGGAGCTGCAAAGGGGGGGGGGGCGGTTCTCCCTTGGGGCTTCCTGGAGGGAGCAGCCCTGCAGGCATTCTGATCTTAGCCCAGTGAGACCGATGCCTGACTGCTGACCTACAAAACTGCAGGAAAATAAGTTCATGTTGTTTTAAGTCATTAAATTCGTATTATGGCAGCAATAGAGATGGATACAGATCCTTTATAGTTTAAAATCTGGCTAAGATTGACAGCCTGGATGCAAATATCGAGCAATGCAAACTTCTCCCCTCTGGCCTTTGCTCCTCTGAGAATTCCCTCCTGCTCTTTTCTGCTGGTGAAAGAATACCACCACCTCTATGAGGTTTTCCTTGATTCTACTACTAAAAATAATCACTCCATCCCTGGGATACTACAGTTGCTGGAAATTTCCAGTAAATAACTGTAACAACCATCGATTTGTGGTTTGAAGCAATTTCACACACATTTTGCTCTTTGGATTGGGAACTGTTGTCTCCCATCAGTTCTGGTCCCCGTGGAGCCTAGATTGGCAGCTGGTGGGGGAGACGGACGCCAGAACTCCAGCTTCTAACTAAGTAGCATAGATCCTCCCCAATCCAATGAGCAAGATGTGTCAAGTTTTTTTAAAGCTGATTCCCATCAGGGCTTCTGCGTTAGAGATGAACCTCCCGATCCTTTCTTTTCCCTATCCGAAACATGGGGTTAGCAACAGGCCTTACACCACCTGGTTGCTGGAATCGTGCCTGTCCAGCACAGAGACAGCGAGCTCTCGTTGAGGTTTTCCAACAACTCTGGAACCCAAGTTCCCACCGCCAGAGGAAGAAATGAGGGCTCAAAGAGAGGTCATTTTTGCACTGCTACTGAAGATACGAATTCATGCCTGTCGTTTCCTCCACGCCCCACCCCACCTCTCAGTCCCTCTCAAGTTTCTTATCAGGTCTGTACACGAGACTGTAGATTTCCCTTGCGCAGTCGGTAGCTCTGCGTTACTTGCGCTGCGGGGTCTAGCTGGGGAAGGCCGCCTCTGCAGGGCAGGTGCCCCGCAAGTGGCCGTCTCTGCCACGAGGGGGCGCTACAGGCCAGGGAGGCCGCACCAGGTTGCAGGGCACAGGGCGATGAAACCCTGGCCACACCTGAAGGAGGAGCAGCACTGCTGGCAGCTCCAGTTTCCGGCTTGGGAAGCGGGACGGGCAGTCCTACTCTCTGCCTGAGCCCCCCACCCGAGTCACGGCGCCCCCAGGGCCAGGCCCTCTGGGGCAGGCTACAGGGTTCCAGGCACCTTCGGCGCTTCATCCCACCTCCATCGCCGTAGCAGTGGGCCATCCAACCAATCAGGACACGCAGCGCCCTGTGACGTCACGAGGCGCCAGGAACGCCTGCCCACCGCGTGCGCATGCGTGCTGGGCGCCGGAGAAAGGCGGGAAAGAACGCCAGCGGCCGGGCGCTCCGGAGGGGGCATGCTGGACCACAGGGGCGGGAAGCCGGCCGAGCAGGGCGGAGGAGGACAGAGGGAAGCGGCAGGGCGGAAGACGCAGCGGGACGGCGGGAGGCGGGAAGGGGGCGGCGGGGGCCGACGCCAGGCGGGAGCGCGCGGCGGGAGGAGGAGGGCGGCGTGGTGCCGCGGCCTCGGGGCGGGGCGGACGAGGACCCCACGGAGGCTCTGGGGCCTGCTGCCGTGGCCCTGCGGGTTCCCGGATCGATCGTGGGCTCGGGGCCTGCTGGGCAGTGTGATCCCAGGGCCTCGGGGCGTCGCCGCTAGCCGGCCCTGGAGGGGGCTCCCCTGGGCCCCGGGAGGCCTGTCCAGGGTCCCAGAGGCCCGGGCCAGCTCACTTGGGTCCTTCTGGAACCCGGCAGGGAGGGGAGCAGAGGTTTCCTGAGGCCCCTGGCCGCCCTGCCCGGCCTCACCTGGGTCTGGAAGTCGCTGGGTGGCTGGAGAGGGGCCCCAGGGACGCGTGCGTTCAGACCCCACTGCTGTAGTGGTCTCTGTGGCCAGGTCCTCTCCCGAAGTGGGGTCCCAGGTCCAGGGAGGATAGTCGTCATCGTCTGTGTAGCCTTGGGAGAAAGTGGGCAGCAGTTGACGCAGCTCCCTGTCGCCGAGGTCCTCGCCACTGCTTCCTGCTCCTCTGGAGTCTCCTGGAGCCTGTTGGTGCCCCAGCCCTGACCCCTCTGATCCAGGTCCTCTGATTGCACCCTGGTGCCGTCACCCTGCCCGCCCCCCACTGCCTTGGCCGCCTCCCCTTGGGAGACTGCACCTACCAGTGCAGGTGAGCCCCACGTCTTCTTCATGGTCACAGTTGTGCTTCCCCCACAGCCCCGAGGGGCAGTCACTTAGCGAAGTCTCAGTCCCTTTACAGCCCATGTCATCCAACCAGATGGGCCCAGTCCCAGGGCCATAGTGAGTTTTGCCCACTCGGGGCCGGACCTTTCCACAACCCAGTTCCCAGCAGGCCACAGTGCCATCCCTCAGGTCCCAGTTGTCATCACAGACTGTCCCCCAGCGTCCAGCATGCCATACTTCTAGCCGGCCAGCACACCTGTTGGGTCCATCAGCCAGACGAACCCGGAAGGGGCCTGTGGGTAGAAGGCCCTAGGGTCAGGAGGCAGGGGCAGCCCATCTGTGTTCCCCACTCCTTCCTCCACCACTCACCTGGTTCCCCGAGGGTGCTAGCAGTGGGGGAGGGGACTGAGTTCTTGGATGGCTCTGGAGATCCTTCTGGGATCTCAGCAGATGTCTCTGGGGAGGCCTGGGGGATTTGCCCGGCAGTGGCCTCAGAGGTAGTGTCTCGAGGGCTTTGTGTGGACAGCATTGCCACAGTCTTTGAGGTCCTTTCCCTGGGCACCTGAGGAGTCAGCACTCCAGTGGTATGTGAAGTCAGTCTGTGGGGATCCTCAGAGATCGGCCTTTTTGGCTCAGAAGTTCGTCTGGGGGAGGCTTCAGTGGTCAGGACTGTGGTCTGGGCGGTTAGTTCTCTGGGGGTTGGGGTGCTCAGACCCCTAGAGGGTTTAGTGGTTGGCATCCCAGGAGGTTGAGTGGTTGGTCTCTTTGGAATTTTGGTCACCCACTTCTTAGTACTCTTGGGCATTTTCCCTGGGGCCTTAGTGGTTTTCTCCAGCACACTGGAGGTCAGACTTGCAGAGGGCTTGGTGACAAGCTCTCCTGGGAGCCAGGCATCCTGATCTCTCCCCAGCCCAGGGAGCCAGCTCCAACTGAAAGGATCTGAGATGGTGTCCAGGCCAGGGGTCCCTAGAAGACAGGTGGAAAGGAAAGAGAAGATCCGAGACCATGAGGAGCATATCATCTGTTCAGGTCCCTCCTCTATCTGGTCACCTAGTTCCCGTTTGTTCGTTGATTCTTTCATTCTAGAGGTATGTATTGAGCACTTCCTGTGAGCCACACACTATGTCAGACCCTGGGGGTACTGTGGTGAGCCAACCCAATACCATCTCCTGCTTTCTTGGCACTTACAGTCTGGATGTGATGAACCTCTCCAACTCCTCAGCCTCTGCTCTGAATCAAGGCCTAAATTTCTGGGCCTTCTGAGGGTTTTCTCTACCTCCCTGGCAATTCTTACCAACCACCAGGGTGGCATCAGGTCTGAGAGGCCACTCCCTGGCTTCAGATTCTTCTGTGGCTCCCATGGCACTCAGGAAGAGAGTGGAGGAAAGGGCCGAGTAGCAGTGGAGTTGACTCCATTACTACTCATCTCACATCTTTTTGATAGCATATGTATACAGTCAGGAATTAACTGCCTGAAGAAAGCCTTGGCCCTTGGCCCCTGGCTACTGGGAGATGACTTCTAAACCCTCAAATCATCTTGCCCAATGGAAGAGTCGGCCATGCTAGATGGTCTGTGCTGACCAAGTGATTTATGGACTGCCACATAAGCAAGACCAAGCCCTACAAAACCAAGGATATCAAGGCTCAGAGTGCGTCTCTGGTTGGCAGTCCTTCCTGTGTGCAGGGAGAGTTCAGCCTGTGCCCGAGCCCTGCACCACACACCTCTTTCCTTGACTCATTTAAATCCATGTCCTTTCACTGTGATGAGCCATCACCCTGAGTATAAGCCTCTGATTTCTGTGAGTCCTACTGAAGTCCTGGAGCTAAGGATGGCCTTGGGGACCTCCCAACTATGTGTCACATGGGCTTGCAGTGGTTTGTTTGTGCATCTTTCGCTCTCTGAACTGTGAGCTTCTCAAAGACCAGGGCTGTGTCGTCCACTCTGAGGACCCAGCACCTGGCTCAGTGAATGTGGTGAGTGAGCATAGCTGCACGCCTCAAGGTGAGTTGAAGCTGCCCTCACTGTGGCTTCTTGCCATCTCTCCATGCCTCCCTCTCTTTCCACTTCCTTTCATCTGAGGATAAAGCCCTTTTCTTTGTGGGGGGCTGTCTTTGATTTCTGGAACAAGGAAGAGGAAGACATCCCCTGGGTGGGAGTCCCAGCTTTGCCCCTTGGTTGCCATGTGACTTCTAGCAAATTACTTAACCTCCCCATGCTCAGCTTCTTCCTCAGTGAAATGGGCACAACATCCCCTGGTCAGGGAAGTCCACACTACAGTTCGAACGTGGTCACGTGTAGGGAAACACACAGCACAGGGCTGGGGCCTGGGACATGCTCGATCAGTGTCGGTGCCAGGGCAAGTTTCCATTTTCTCCTCCTGGAAGCCTCTTGGAGTCTGGGGGTGGCTATGGCATCCTTACCCGTGCAGATGACCCCGACATCCTCATTGTGAGCGCAGTTGTGCTTCCCCCAGGGAGCAGCAGGGCAGTCAGACAGCGAACTCTCTGTCCCCACACAGCTGACATCATCCAGCCAGATGGGGCCTGCACCCCAGCCAAAGCGGCCCCCAGCAGGGTCTGGCTGCCGAGGCCCCCCGCAGCCCAGCTCTCTGCAGACCACAGCTGAGTCTCGTGTGTCCCAGCTGTCATCACACACTGTCCCCCAGCGCCCATCATGCCACACCTCCAGCCGGCCTGAGCACCTGCTGGGCCCAGCCACCAGCCGCAGCCCAGGGGACCCTGGCATAGAAGAAATGCAAAAACTTAGAGACAGGAAGCTGTCCAGTCCTCCATCTTGGCCTCCACGTGCCGTCCCCTCATTCACCCATCTCTCCTTCCAGATGGGGTGTTTATGGAGGCTCTTCTGTGTTGGCCATACGGCACAGTCAGGCACAGTTGGGTGGTCCCTCGGAAAACTAAAGGTAGAATTACCCTGTGATCCAGAAATTCCACTACTAGGGATATACCCAAGGTCAACTGAAGCAGGTATTCAAACAGGTATGCGAATGTCATGGCAGCACTATTCATAATAACCCAAAGGTGGGAATGACCCAAACGTCCCTCAGTATATGAATGGATACACAAAAAGTGATATTGGTCTTGGCAATGGTTTCATGGATCCAGGCCAAAAGCACAGCCAATAAAAACAAAAATAAGTGAGACTTCATTAAACTAAAATGCTTTTGTGCAACAAGGGAAATAATCAACAGGGTGAGAGGGCAGCCTCCATGAGGGGAGGAAATATTGGCAAACTGTCCATCTCATGAGGGGTTAATCTCCAAAACGTGGATATGCCAACAACTCAAGTAAAACATCTCGTAACCTTACATAAAAGAGGCTAAGGACTAGAATAGACATTTCTCCAAACACAATAAATATGAAAAAAAGTTTGTCACTATCCATAAAGGAAATGCAAATTGAAAGTGAAATGAGTCACCACCTTACACCTGTTACGATAGTTATTACCAAAGGGAAAAAAAAAATCAAAGGGCAACTAGTGTTGGTGAGGATGTAGGGAAATTGGAACCAGCCAGGCACAATGGCACATGCCTGTTACCACAGTGACTTGGAGACTGAGAGGAGGATCAAGTTCAAGGCCAAATTCTGCAACTTAGACCTTGTCTCCAAAAAAATAAAAAAGGCTGGGGATATAGCTTAGTAGTAAAGCACCTCCGGGGTTCACGCTCCAGTATGCCCCCACAAAAGAAACAAACTGGAACCTTGGTACACTTTGGTGGGAACTTCTATGGAAAACAGTATGGAGGTGCCTGGAAAATTAAAAGTAGAACTACTACATTAGCCAAATTATATTGTTGTATTGTCTACATGTATGAATATGCAACAATGAGCCTTACTATCATATACAATTATAATGCACCAATAAAAAATATGGAAAAATAAGTAAAAATAGGACTTCCATATGATCCAGCAATCCCACTTCTGGGCATGTATTCCCCCGAGTTGAAATAATTATCTCAAAGTGATATTAGCAGTCTTAGGTTCAATACAGCACTATTCACAATAAATGAGATGTGGAAACAACCTAAATGTCTATCAGCTGATGAATGGATAAAGAAAATGTGGTACATAATTATAACAATACCATTCAGCCCTTAAAAGAAGGAAATCCTGTCATTTTTGACAATGTGGATGAACCTTGAGGATATTGTATATGTGAAATAAACCAGTCACAGAAAAATGAATGGTATGTGATTCTACTTATGAGAATCAAATTCATGGAGATGGAAAGTAGAATGGTGACTACTAGTAGCTGGGCAGAGGGAAGGAGGTTAATATTTCACAGTGATTCAATCTTCATTTGGAATAATGAAGAAGTCTGGGGATGGAGGGTGGTGATAGTTGGTAACAGTATGAACAGTGGGTACCACCCACCTGTGTTCTTAGGAATGCCGGAGTGGTTGATCCTGTTAGGTGTACAGAGCTGCATTACTTAGAAGTGGGGTACATTCTGAGAAGTGTGTCATCAGGCAATGTCACAGAATGTACTTACACAAATTGAAATGGCCACAGCTTCACTAAGTGATAAAATCTTATGGGACCACTGCCGTATATTGGGGTCTGCTATTAACCACAATGTCACCATGTGGTATATGACTATATTATCAGAAGTAAAAAAGGAATACGGGCTCTGGACAAATCTCTGGGTCTTGGCTTTTCCACCTTTCCGCTGTGCTGCCTACTGGGGACGAGGGTTATAACCAGTTGGAAGCACCCCATGAGTTGTAGCACTGCCTGGATTGAGGCAGAGAACTTGGAACAGCCTCTGTAAATTGAAGCCAGTGAGTGCTCGATAAATGTTGGCTATTATTACAGAGGGTAAGGGAGATGAGGCCTCTGGTGCTCTGCCCGCGGTGACAGCCAGTCGCCACCTGTTCAGCCTCTCCCAGCCTTAAGAAAGCCCTATCAGTTGTGCCTTTTTATTTCCGGTATTTCTGAGTCTTTTGTAAACTAAAAACAGGAGCTCTTCACTTGAGCCTGCAAATGCCCAGTGGTGAACTAAAAGGATGAAAACCCTTGGTGTCTCTACCTGCGTTTTGCACCTGTCTCCGTTTTTCTGAATCACCTTGGATTCCAGGAATAACAGGTCTGATCAAACGACATCTTGTGATGAGTCAAAACTACCCCTCAGGCAATAGCCACTTTCTTACCCTTCTGACAAGTCCCTCCTGTCCTGAGACCTGGTCACCCTGACCGCAGTCCAACAGAGGCTCTTGACTGCATGCTTGTGACCCACCTTGTGAATATGACTTGGAAGCTCATGTCAGTACCCTGAAGACAGGGCTAAAGACCCAGGTCCCCCGTCTTCCCGCTCAGCTATGCTGACCAGAGCTCCTTGCCTGCTTTCCACCATTACTTCTGTTTGATTTTTTAGGGTGAGTGGCTTCATTTGACTTGTTGGGGTCCAGTCACTGGATCACCTGCTTACTCCCACAGAATCCACAACAAAGTCCACTGCCCACATTCCTGCTTGCTCCTAACAGACCCTGGTGCTCCTGTGGCCCTGCGTGGCCTGCAGTGCCTCATCCCCCTTGGGAACTGTGCATACCAACTCCTCAGTGGCCACTGACTCCTGGTCTGTGGACCTCACATCCCTGAGTGTCACAGAGCCTGTTTCAAACAACAGCCGTCATCGATACAGCCCTTTCAGTACTTATGGGAAGGACACAGACAAAATCATTCACCCCATTTTCTAAGAACCTGAGCAGCTTCCCGACAAGAAAGCCAAAGGACATTCCTGAGCTAAGCAGAGGACCTGGTGACAGTCCCACAGCCACACCATGTGGCATGAGAAGCCGGGAGCTTGACATAGTGAACTCTCAGGCCACCACCCTCTCTATCCAGGGCCAGCTACAGCAGCCTGGGCCCTTATTCAAACATGGTCATGGATCTTAGGATGGTGTCAGCAGAGGTCCTGAGCAGGAGGACCCCAGGGGACTCCTCGTGCTGGGGCAAGAAGGGACTCACCAGCTTCTGGCCCAGGCTCCCAGGGGGCAGTAGGAGAGGCTGGAGGAGGTGAACCGCCGGCTGTCCCTAGGGTCTGGCCCACCGTGGTGGAAAGTGGCCTGGTTGCCACCTCCCTGGGTGCTGAACTGTTGCTGTCCACGGCAGGGGCCGTGGGGGAGCCGAGGCCAAGGGGCATGCCTGAGGCAGAAGGAAGCCATTACCACCACTCCCGCCTCCAGACGTCCCCACCCAAGCCTCCCGTCCCTGAGTCCCAGACCTGGGGAGAGAAGCTGTGGGTAGGAGTAAGGGAACAGAGAGGGCAGGAAGTGGAGATAGCCTGGTGGTGATGGGAAGAGGGAAGCTGCTTCTGTGGGGGCAGGAGGCAGGGCGGGGAGGGCCGCCCAGGCTGAGGCTCAGCCTCCGCACTGCTGGCATTGGGGGATGGATCATTCTCTCTGGGTTTGGGTTGAAGTGTCTATTGCACTACAGGATGTTAAGCAGTGTCCAGCCTCTGTCCACCTCCAGTAGCACCACCTCCAGTTGTGACTACCAGAACTGGCTCCAGACTGCCCGGTGCCCCCTACGGGAGCAAAACAGCCCCCAGTTGAAAACCTTGCTGTAGAATGGGCTAGAGGATTGAGGGAAGTGGGAGGTTGGACAGAGCGACTGAATGCAGAGGGACAACTGCACCCCCACTTCCTGCCCAGTGCCTGCCCTCCCCGGGTCCCCCTCGAGCCCCTCACCATCACACACGGCCCCAGCGTCCTCCCGGTGGTGACAGTCATGCTGGCCCCAGGGCCTGGCTGGGCAGAACCTCAAGGCTGTCTCATTTCCCCGACAGCGCAGGTCATCCAGGGTGATGGGGCCAGTCCCCTCTCCAAAAAAGGCACCCCCGGGGGCGGCCAGTGCCCCCCCACAGCCCAGCTCCCTGCAGGCCACGGCAGCATCCCGAAGGTCCCAGGCGTCATCACACACTGACCCCCAGCGCCCACCATGCCAGACCTCCAGGCGGCCAGCACAGCCGTGGGGGCCATCGGCCAGGCGCAGCCGGGGGGCGGGTCCTGGATAGCAGGAAAGGAGGTCAAGAAGACAGGAAGCTAGGATGGACGAGGGACCACCAAGTTCTGATGGGAAACTAAGGGGCAAGGGAGGGCAGGAGGGAGGGCAGGAGGGCAGTCCTGCACAGCTCCTTGGTGTCCGCCTTCTCCGGGTTCCGTCACAGGTCCCAGAGGGGAGTGGCCTCCAGGAGACAGCTGGACACTATGTTGGGTGGGGGTAGGGTGCTGCCCTGGCCCTTCAGCTGTCCCTCCCATTTCCCCAGGAGAGTGGCTGCAATGCAGAGGGACAGACCTGGGGCCAGGCTCTTGGCAGCTTCCTAGAAGCAGGCAGAGGGAGCTGGGGTCTGAGGAAGGTGGGGACAGGACAGCCCTAGCCCCAGCGTACCAGTGCAGACCAGACCAGCATCCTCACTGTGGTCACAGTTGCTCCGGCCCCAGGGGCTTCGGGGACAGTCCCGGAGGGCCCGCTCTCCTCCTCCACACCCCACATCGTCCATCCACACGGGCCCCGCACCAGGCCCAAATCTGGAGCCCCCGGGGGCGGCCAGCGCCCCCCCGCAGCCCAGCTCCCGGCAGGCCACAGCAGCATCCCGAAGGTCCCATCCATCGTCACACACGGTGCCCCAGCGCCCGCCATGCCAGACCTCCAGGCGGCCGGCACAGCCGTGGGGGCCTGAAACCAGGCGCAGCCGCTCTGGGTAAGGACAGACCAAGAGGGAGAGGGACAGTGAGGGGCTCCTCTGACTGCAGCCTGGGGGAAGCAGATCCAAGCCCCCTCCTCGGTAAGCCTGGGGGCATCTCCAACAGGGGAGGGCGGGCGGAAAGGGGAGGCCAGGCCTGTGCAGGTGCAGTGAACACGGGGGGCAGTGGAGGCCAGGGGCGGGGCTGGAGGGTCCTCAGTCTAGCCAGGTCTCAGAGCATCCGGATGTTGGGGGGTCTGGAGGGGCTTACCTTGGCGTGGGGCTCCAGTCAGCAAAGGCGCCCGGGTGGACTTGGCTGGCTTGGGTGGCCGGAGGCTCTTCTTCCGGGGGCCATTCTGGGGGATCCCAGCTGGGCGAGGGACTAGGAGAGGACACAGGAGGACAGGTGCTGAGCTGTCCATCCTTCCTGTCCCCAGGGGGCCAGCACTCCCTTCCTGAGGACCTAAAGTGACAAAGTGCTCCTGGGTTGTGCCAGGGGACCTTGGTACTGGCTGAAATGGGAGCAGGGGCACAGGATGGGCACGCACAGCCTCAGCCTTGGGGCTCACCCTGGGTCACGGGGGGCTCCTCAGAGCCGGGGCGCAGCCCCCCAGACAGCTCTGGCCACAGACCTCCATCTGGGGGGGAAGCGGAGTCGTCCCTGGAGGTCGCCACTCGCTGGCCTATGGGAGAGGACAGAAGCTGTGAAGGGGTGGGGGAGCAGAGGCCACTTGCCCCATGGGACAGGGCCCCGCATGCCCTGGTGTCCTGGGGCTCAGAAGTAAATGCTCGTCAGCTGAGGGTCCCAGAAGGAAGGAGACACATGGCGCTAGGGCGGTCTCGTGGCTCTAGGGAGGCCAGGGGTCAGGTTCTGCAGGACGGCCCGTCAGCTCAGACATCCGGGGGTGCAGGACTCGGGCCCCTGGGCCATCTCAAAAGAGCTGCCCATAACGGAAGAGCGGTTTCCTCACCTGCACAGACGACGCCGGCGTCCTCCTCGTGAGAACAGATGTGGACCTTCCAGCCCCGGTGGGGACAGAGGCCCAGCTGCCCCTCGCTGCCCCGGCAGGCCAGCTCGCTGAGCCACACAGGCCCTGCGCCCTCCCCGAAGAAGGCGCCCCCGGGGGCGGCCAGCGACCCCCCGCAGCCCAGCTCCCGGCAGGCCACAGCAGCATCCCGAAGGTCCCATCCATCGTCACACACGGTGCCCCAGCGCCCGCCATGCCAGACCTCCAGGCGGCCGGCACAGCCGTGGGGACCGTCAGCCAGGCGCAGCCGCTCTGGGGGCAGAGGGAAGGCTGTGACTCCTACCAAGGAGGCCACAAGGCAGGACCAGAGTGAGGCAGGCCCGGGGACTACCCCACAGGGCCCATCAGGAGACCAGCTGCTGCCCGGGACCCTCCTCGTGGACTCCTGGGTACTCAGACAAAGGCACCTGAGGCGCTGGTCCCTGGGGCCTGGTCAGTCAGAGTGCAGTGGGGGTGGCCAGGGACCCAGCAGGAGGGCGAGACAGATGGGGAGGCTTCTCGCTGGGCGAGGCCAGAGGCCAGCAGACGGGAGGAGAGTTGGGAACTTACCAACAGCCTGGATCCCCACCAGTGCTGCTGCAGGGGGGTGGACAGAACAGAGTGAGGGACAGGCCCGGCCCTTCCCCAGCCTACACACACCAAGACACACCAAGACACACCCAGGCTTCTCACACCTCCGAACCAGACACCCGGCTGCTGGGAAGTGGACTGGGCAGAGACTGGGACAAGACAAGAGGTCCCTGTGGCGGGTGGAGCCCCAGATGCCTGGTTCCTGAAGTCAGGGCTGGGACCAGGGGCGGGTGATCCCCCACCAGGTCAGGGCTAGGGCATGGGGGTGGGGGGCAGGTCCCTTGGGTTGCTGAGGGTGGGACAGGACATGCAGAGGGCTGGTTCCCTGCGGGGCTAGGCAGCCAGATGCCAGGGTAACCCAAAGCACCAGGACTGGGCGCTGGACTTCTCGGTCCCTAATCTGGATGCGCTAAGGGGTCAGAGGTGGGCCCAGGCCCTGTGAGTCCCCCGGGAGAATAGGTCACTCACCAAGGAGACAGGCCAAGACCTTCATGTTTGCAGAGTCCGGGGCAGGGGACGGGGTGAAGGGGAAGAGGGCAGGAGGGCAGGAGGGGAGGAGGGGAGGTAGGGACGCACCGAGGCTCCCTGGACCCGCAGAGGAGCGGGCGGCTACAGGCTTTGCCAGGAGCAGAGAGGCTGCAGGGAGGCGGCAGGGGACAGGAGGGGGAGGGGGCCGGCCCAGCTGAGGCGTGGGGAGAAGGGGGGAGGCGGGCGGGAGGGGGAGAGCGGCCAACGGCAAACACCCACACGAGGAGACCAGGCAGGCTCGCCAGCGCACCCTGCGCTCAGAGATGCTTAGGGGATGGCAGGCTCAGGGAAGGGACTGGACCCCAGTGTCTGGAAGACTGCAAGGGAGGGGACACACCCTCCTGCCTCCTCTCTTGTCCAGCCATGGAAGTGTGGCTGTGAGTGGGCAGATCTAGGGCACTCCTGCAGCAGCAAGAGGGCTTGCAGCCAGACACCAGAAGGGACTTTCTGGATTAGGAAAAGAAACTGAGAAAACCCTCTTTTCATTTGACAGCCCCACTGGTGGACCTGAATGTAAAGCCCTCAGGCCCCATCTGAGGGAGGAGAGGCTGAACTTCAGAGCCCCCAGAAAGAAGAGGTGGGGGTTGGGCAGACAGGGCCAAGGCTTGGGGGAGGGGGAGGGAGCTACACACACACACATACACACACACACACACACTCTCTCTCTCCTCTCTCTCTCTCCCCACACACCAGGCAGCAGCGAGGGGAAAAAGTTGGTAATGGGGAGGTGACTCAGAAGCCTGGCAGGGCGGCTGCGTGAGCTCACTGCCCCCTTCCCCAGCCCAGCACCCCCCACTCCACCAACACACACAGCAACTGGCGAGAGGAGGAGCCAGCCAGGCAGAAGGGCCAGCGGGGTCCAGAGGCAGGCTGGAAAAGGCATCAGGACGAGGCCGCACACAGCAGTCTCAGGCTTTATTGACACACTGTAAGGACCAGACAGAAGGACGCACAGGAGCTGTGCCCACCAGCCCCACCCGCTCCCAGGGAGGCCTTGTCCCAGGCACCCTGCCTCAAGTCCTAGCTAGCTCAGGGCGAGCTTGCGGCCGCTCCGCCCCTCCCCAGAGCTCCCCCAGGGCCAGCAGCACAGACAGCACAGCTCTGCAGACAAAGCAGGGAGATTCTCAGTGCAGACAGAATCTGAGGCAGGGGCTTGACAGGTTGACCTCTGATAGCCCTCGGAGCCAAAGGGGAGAGGAATTTGTTCCACACTGGACACTGCAGGCTGGCGGCAGGTGGAGGGGTGGGTGTCTAGGTCTGCAGTCCTCGCTGGGGCACAGGTGTGCTGGGGTCACTGAGGCATGGATGTGACAGTGCCCGGGCACAGCAGGAGCGTTGAGTGCTGGCGTCCCCCTGCCCCAGGTCTGCAGTCACAGGTCTTTGCTGAACTCCCTCACCAGTGTGTAGCCCATGCAGCCCCAGCCCCCCTCGGCCTGATAGCCACAGCCCTCCAGCAGCCCTGCCACCCCCCAGGCAGCCACGGCCACGGGGACCACAAGCCGGGCCCGGGGCTCCCCCATGCCCCCTGCCCAGGCTCGAGCCCGAGACTCAGCAAAGGCTAGGAGCCTCCTACCCACTCCCCTGCGGCGGTGCCAGCGTGAGACAGAGAGGCGGGTGACCCGGGCTCCATCCCCCGCATTGGTGCCAGGGGCCAGGGCCAGGACTCCACACACATCGCCAGAGCCCCTCACGGCCACCCAGGGCCCCCCCAGGCCTCCGGGAGGAGGCAAGGAGCCCCACCAGGCTCGCAGGCCTAGCTTCACTGCGGCCACAGCCAGGAACACAGGCAGCAGGAGGGCCAGGGCGAAGGAGGCCAGGACGAAGCGCAGGCCGCTGCTGGCTGCCGCCAGGAGAAGAAGGGCCGGGGGCCGTGTCAAAGCATGGAGGGCCACACGGTTTTCCGTGTCCTTTACGCCAGCCTGTGGGTAGGGGTGGGGCTCAGCCATCCAGAACGTTAGCGCCCCCAGGACCAGGAAAGGAGGTGGACCTGTCCAGGGCCAGAGTGGGGGCTCCCTCGTGAGGAGGCAGGCAGCTGACGGGGTGGGCACACTGAGTGTGAGTAAAGGGTGAGGGATGGGCGGATGGGGAAGGCTGATATGGAGCTGTGGGCACCATCCAGCGGAGGTCCCAGAGCCAGGCTTCAGGGAAGCACTCTTGAAGGACAAGGAGGCCCGACAGGACAGAAAGGGGAAACCGAGGCTACCGGCTCTGCTCAGGAGAGTCTGGGGTGGGAGGCAGGCAGGGAAGACTAGGAGTTGGTGCTGGGGTGCTGGATGCAGCACCCTGCCCCCTGGGACCCCCATCTGCTAAAAGCCGGGGCAGCTGAGGCCAGATGGGGAGAAGGCACCGGAGGAAAGGGCACAAGCCGCTTAGGAGGAAAAGCCCCCGGCGGTGGCGTGGGTGGACAAGCCCGCCCCTGCCCGGCTCAGGCGTGGCGTGGGTGGACAAGGCCGCCCCTGCCCGCCTCACCTCTCTCACCTTGAGCATCTCCAGCACCAGGGCTTTCTCATCCTCCCTCATCTCCCGCACAGACAGGTGGCTGGGGGCCATGGCAGCCCCCAGGCCACCGCCCCCAAAAGGGAGCTGGCGTAGTTTGTGCACCTGCTGGAAACACAAGTAGGTCAGTACCAGGTGGGCGCCTCTGTCCCCAAAGCCTCCCGCGGGGCGAGCAGCAGCGGCAATTTCCAAATCGGGTACCGAGGACCCTCGGGGTCCCTGAGCGAAGGCCGTGTCAGGATAGGTCCCCCCTACCCAGTGACCTTCCTAAAGTCTCCCTGATCCCCCTCCCCATGGTCAGCGATCCGCCCCTAATCAGGCTGTGGACGCGAACACCTTGCAGCACGGCCCCTCCCAGGCGCCGGGACTGCCCCGGGGGTCCACGAATACCCCGGGACCCACTAGAGGAGGGGCCGCGCTCCCCCCGCCCAGCCCCCGCCCCCGTGCCCCTCGCCCCGCGCCGCGCCAGCGAGGATCGGCGAGCACCTCCTCGGGCGCTCCGATCCCTAGACAAGGTGCTGGGGGAGCAGGGTCAGGAGGGGGTCGCCGGCGGAAGTGACGTCCACACTCGCGCTCGGCTGGGCGGGGCGGCGCCGACTCCGGGCCTTAGCAACTGTTGCCAAGCGTCTCCGGGGTTGAAGGGGAGGCGGCGGGAACCGAGTGCGCTAGGGTGGGACCGGGGCAGCGAGCCGGACCGCTGGAGGTGGGTGGAGGCGACCTATCCTAGCCTGGAGAAGGAACAAGGGGGGAAAGGGACCTGGGGGCGAACGGGAGCAGAGGCCAGCAGGGAGGTGGTGGGAGTAGAGACGAGCGTCTGGGAGAAGTACTTACTGACCCCGAGCGTTCGCAGTTTCCTTCACGACGGTCCCTCGTTGCTAAGCGACCTAAGCGCGGGAGGAGACGGCGACCGCAACCGCGACGCCAGTACATCGATTCCCATTGGTGCTGGGACCTTTGCGGGTGGGGTCCGGAGCCCCCACCTCAATCCCTGGGGGCGCCCTGACAGTGCCCTTCGGGATAAAAGATCTACCCCCCACCCATTTTTCAGATGAGGAGAGAGGGCGAGTGACATCCAGCAAACAAGAGGCAGAACCGGTATTCTGATTCTAATGCCTCCCAGCTGGAGACCAACCATGGCATCGCCACCAGCTCCCTTTTAATGAATAGGGAAAGAACTCCATAAAGAACAGTGGCTGGTCCAAAGACGCAGAACTCTTGAGAGCCAGGAAGCAGAAGTAAAGACTCCAAGACTAGGCTGGGCACAGTGGCAAACGCCTGTAATCCCAGCAGCTTGGGAGTCTGAGGCAGGAGGACTGACAGTTCAAAGCTAGCGTCAACAATGGCGAGGCGATAAGCAACTCAGTGACTGCAGTGTCGCTAAATAAAATATAAAATAGGGCTGGGGATGTGGCTCAGTGATCAAATGCCCCTGAGTTCAACCCCCAGTTCCAAAAAAAAAAAAAAAAAATTCCAAGACCCCAGATGGAGGCCATAGCCTGACTGCTCCCTGTCTCCTGCCCACCCCCCAAGAGGAAAAAAAAAAAAAAAAAACAGAGAGGAGATTCTGGGTCTTTATTAGCACGCCCAGCCTACAGCCCCCTTCTCCTGGGGCTAACCCCAGCTCAGCCAAGGAAAATGAGTTAGGAGTCTCTGTGTGGGGTGGACAGAGGCGCCAGTCCTCAAAATGTGTGCACCAGCTGGACTGCTGGTAGGGTCTGCACGATTTGGATAGAGGGCACGCCCTGTGAGGTCATGACCCCAGGCCCAGCCCCTGCGGGGACCACTTGCACCATCTGGGAGGTGGGAACAGCAGGCATCCCTGCGGGGGTAGAGACTGG